TTTTTTTGCTTTTTTTGCAATATTTTACAATATTTTCGCAATTTATTTTTTTACAATATTTCACTTTGTTTTTATAGGTTTTATATATTATTTACTTTACAACAAAAAAAAGAGAGAAATACTTTCAAGCTGCAGATGCCATTGATGATTTATCATTGATATGTTGTGAGGGTTCGAAAGGCAATATTCAAGTGCTTCTTTTCGGGGCTTAGCTGTACTTGACTAGATGGTGAATTTTAAAATCCCTTTTCAAAATATTTGGGTTTCAAATTTCAATATTAAAGGTATGTCGAACTGTTTTCGTAAAGCTAAAGAGAGTGGGCTTTGCCTGCGTTACCCTCGTTTCTGGTGATATATATATATATATGGTGAACAAGTGGATGCAATGATCAAGGAAGTTATGGCAACCTTGTGAGCTGGCAGTTCTATCTATGATAACTCTGTTAACTGACGGACCTGGCTGAGATACGAATAAGATCTTCTCAGTGTCTAGGAGAGATGTCAGTGAAAGAACACAATAACCTAAAGCTGTGTTTTTGTAAGTTCTTTCAAACAGATACTTGTAGCTTACTGCTACTTGATACTTTAGAAGGATACTGCCTCACGTCACCTACCAGATGGCGGGACGAAATTCTTAAGTAGAGTACTTAGCGAAAGCTAACCATCCCTTTAATTTATAGATGTCATGCAAGAAATTTGTAAGAACAACATTTAGTTATAACGAAGAGTCGGATACCAAGCCAACCCAATCATTCATATTTTTTGGTTCAATAGTACAGTACCTTTCTTTATTTAGATCAACTGCATATTTTGCGGAGTCTATGAACATCTACTCCGATGTAGGATTTATTTATAAAACATTTCTTTTTTCAGATTATAATAAGAGGTATTTTTATGACTTAATTTTAAATAAAATGACGTATTTACTGTGTCAAATTTGAAATAATCAATTAGAAACATAAAAATATGGTTATTATTTACCTCGTGAAAGAAGTGAAATAATAAGTTGAAGTTAATGTTGAATTCTTATTTATTTTCTTCTCTAACAAATTATGTAACGCAATAAGTTGTTGATTTTTTTTTATCTCAAACATATTTTATGGCAAATTTACAAAAAAAAATTTTGAATGTTGAATTCCAAATCTCATCTCAGGAGAACCTGCAATAATAGCTGAAAAGTTATGAATTTTAATATCGGTTTATTTAAAAAACTAATTCATAAAATATTACAAAATGAAAAGATCCGATAAAATTGAAAATGCAACAATTCTAAGTAATCAACGCATTTTATTATTAATAACAATAAAATACTTAGAGGTATCAAAAAATTCCAATAACCCTATAACTAACCATACCAGTCTATCAAAAAAAGCATAACTAAGCAATAAAACTTGAATTCTACAGTAATTGTAAATTCTGAATTATTGTTCATCCAGTTACTAATCTTAAACTAACTATTTATCGTTATATTATTATAATTTCTTTGATTTTTAATATTTTCATCTGTGTTTGTATTTTAACTATTTCTAAACAACGTAAAGACAATACAAAATAAAATTCTCTTAGAATTAAAACAATTAAACTATCAAAATACATTGTGAATATTAAAAAGTAATACATTGAAAAAATAAAGTCCAATTAATTTCCGTCTAACGGAACGTATTCGAATACTAGCCAAAAGTTCTTCACTTGACTAAATTGATGACCTTACTTTCAATTTTGTTTACTCAATTGAACTTTTATTTGCTATCAGAGTCGTCCCTTCTTCCCTGAATTGTCACTACGTGCTTTTTGTTTTTGTTCAATTTTCACTTTCAGAATCCACAACTTTTTCTTTTGCCTTATCTTTATTATTTTTCCACTAATTACACTAATTACTAAATTCAGAGTTTAATTGATTATATTTTTAAATCACTTCTTTACTTCTTGGAATCGTTGAAACAGCAGGACTCGTTATTCATTAACGCTTCTACGAATCGTTCATCCTCCGATGAAGGATGTGCGTTGTTGTTGTGTGCTGTGTCTTTCGGTATCTCATCTTCTTGAAACTTCCATTTTTTTTTATAAGTTCGTTTTGGTCTTTTATCTGCAGCCAATTATCTAAAACTTCGTTCATTGTTGAATCATAAGTGATCTTGAATAATTCTTGTTCATTATTATTAAATACATTAAAATATATTTCATTTTGTTAATTTTAATGATTTTAGCGAAGTGGCCTCCGTATTTTCTTATGTAGTCTTTAATAATTGTATATTCTTCTTTTGTTTTCTTGATCGTTCAGCTTCGTAACCGCTTGATAACTATACTATCTTTTCTTTATGTCACTTGAAGAAATCTTTGCGTCAAACATCCTAAAAAAATATAAACGTTCATTTCTCGAAATTGTTATATTGGATCCACCTTTTATGAAAATTACTTCCATATCACTTGTTAGACGGATTCTGGTCTGAACAGTCTTATATTTGTAATTGCGTTTGACTGTTAGATGTTCTGCGTAACCCACTTGTTTTTCATAGATTTCGTCATCTTTCCAATATGCCGGAAAATCATAGAATCTTAAGTCACGTGAAATATCGGCAAAATTTTTTTCCAAATAGTTAACATCGGTAGATTGGTATTTCACACGAAATAATCTTACACTACTTTTTCATTTGATCTGTTCTCTTTTATGCTCTTCTTTTTCACATAAATTATTTTTCTTTTTTTTTATATTAAATATTTTTTAATACCATTAATTTCATAATAATGTATATGAGAACAATAAAAAAAAACTTTATCAAAAATATTTAACACTTGTAATAGGTAAGTTTATTCTGGTTTCTTTGAGTTTTAAATTAAATCTATTATATATTGTTTGAGATTTCTTTCAACTAAAGTTTATGATTTTACTAACATGTACATATTTTTTTGATTAAATTGGTTTTGATTGGTAAGTTGAAAAATAAATTGCTTGAATATTCAATTTATATTAATAAAATTTCAATGAAAATTTTGTGAATCTCTTTTCGAAAGAATAAATGTAAATATAATAAATAATTCTTTAACCAGTTGTTAAATACTTGATAAATATTTCTAATAGCTTGGTTTAATTTATTTTTTACATCATTTTTTTTTGTCATAAAAATTCCAAAATAAATGTTTCATACTTTATATTTCATTGTGAAATGTATATACAATAAAAAAATTAATTTAAGAATTAATATAGATGTTACGCGATAAAAATGTTATGTGCGTGGTGTGAAAGATCTTGAAAATTTTTAAGATAAATGTTACATGTGAATATGGAATATCGTGAATAATTTTCAGTGGCTGATTAAACCAATCATATTTATTAAGAAGGTCTAGGATAAGAAGCCTGGACTCCGAGGACCGAGGGTCTAGAATAAGAGTCCTGAACCAGGGGTCTAGGATAAGGACGCACTTTTTTTAAACTGGAATTATGAGCATCATTTCTACTATATACGATTAATCCGGATTTATCTGTGACGGATGATGCATCCAGAAAATTATCCAAATTATTAGTTATCTAGGTTCGATTCGGATACAAGAATTATCAGGATGGACGGATTTTCGAATCGCATTATAAGGAAAGTTATTTATATGAAAAGAAAATGAATAATTATGTTATAGACAAATGTTAAGAAGACTAAAGAAAAGTTAATTAAAGCTTAAAAACGCTTGTTTTTCCGGAGTTACTATTATTGGAACCTCCGAAAAATATCACTCATTAATGATATATCCTATAAAAAAATGCTGATCCGTGTTTTATCGTTTCATGTTTTTTCCGTGAATGTATCATGGAATTTTTACGATATATTCGAATAAAATTTTTTTGCCTAAATCATTTTTTTTTTCCACAAAATAACGATATACCGTATTAAAATATCAATTTACCGAAAAACTTATATATTATAATCGGTCAAAAGTCAAAAGTCAAATATGCGTATATGAGGGTTGTACACGTATAAATATTTGATTTATTATTATTATTAATATTATTATTGCAACGAATCGAGGCTTATTTTTATACTAAATATAGAGAACTCCGCGTACAGCACTTAAACTTTAAATCATCAAAATCGTTAGAATAAGGTTCGTGATCCTGAAAATTACAGACAGGTTAAACTATATTTTGATTTGGAATTAAAATATAATATAATAAATAATTACTATGCCACTCTTTTTAATAAATAATTAGGTAGATATTGTATCTATCGTATCGCATTCGAATAATTTCTCTTTTTTTTTGAATTCTGTTCAATTTATTACAATGTTTTTTTTTTTTTTTTGAATATATCATGGATATAAAATATTAGGGATGACACAATAATTATGTAATTATGTAATAAGGCACGTAATTTCATTTGATCGACTATTTAAATATATTATGTACCAATCAACTTTACAAATTTACCTTTTCCTCTTTACTTAATGAAATATTAACAAAAATTAAATAAAGATATCCTTTATTTGATATTTGAACAATTACAAAATGATAAAAATACACTTTATTTATGCCTAACAGCTAATAAAATTTGGTGTGAAATTATTGTTCTAATTCTATGGAAAAATCCTTGGAAATATTTAAACGATGGAAAAGAAAATCGGTATAATACAGTAAAACGCAAAATTTCATTTAATCAAATCTTGAAAATTTTTTTATTACTGAACAAAATGTATTCAGTTTTGAGTTTTTGATTTTTACACACTCGCGCAAAATGCAAGGTGTATTTTTTTTACAATATGGTAATTTGAGTGAAATTTTATTCGTGAGAGTTATCGTTATTTATTTTGTTTCGTAAAATGAAAAATTCGAAAGCTAATTTACTTTTGTAGCATACTATTTATACAGTTAAAGTTTTATTCTTATTTGCGGAATCTTGATCCGACATTCATATGAACGTTAGCTAAAAAAAATATTTTTTTCTATGTGATGCTTATCTTTCAAGTATCTTTTTTAAAAAAGATTATTATGATAATTTATAATTTAATTTTATTTATTATACAGCATAGTTAATCCTAGTTATTAACTGGTCTAATGTTAAGTAATTTTCTTCTACACATCTAGAACTAATTCTTTCCATCCATTTTTCCTTCTCCAAACCATGTAAAAAGCTTATCATATTATCACTGCTATCAAGTTCATGTAAACACTTATTCATTAAATTTTCATAAGCTTTACTCAGATCTTTATTTATTTTAATTTCCTTATTGATGAAATTGAAGATGACATCCGATCCCAGATTCTATCACATGCTAAGACTAAGAAATCAGTATCTGTATCAACTTTATGGGACATAAACATCAGGGTAAGCAATAAAGACTTGTTCTTTTGGTCCTTTACCAGGATTATTCTTACACGCTTTAAAGTCACCAAAAGCACGGGATACATTATAATCTTCGTATCTTCTATCTTTCTTTGAGATTCTCTATCAAGGTTAGGTTTATGATCAACAGATAAGGGTATTGCTAAACCGCCAACGCTCATAACAGCACGTGAATCTCTAGCATTTCCAACATAGACAAATTTTATTTGAAGTTATCACAGTTGCTACTGCAGTACTACCATCATCGTACTTGAAAGGGTCATTTTTATCAGGCACAAATTTGAACTCTCATCTTTCCAAACATTATCTGTTTGCATAAAAGCATCCTTTATAGCTTCTTCAATATTTTCTTCACCAATTTCGTTAATTTTTTTGAAAATATTAAGATGCAAGTTTTTACTGATATATTCAGAAGTATATTTTCCTTGATGTCCATCATAAAGTCCAAAAAACTATAATTAGGAAATTCAGGAATATTACACTCAACAGTATGCATATCTTTCATATTTTTTCGCCAACTTTACATTGTTGAAGTAACATATATTAAGCCATGTTATTGACAGATACCTTCAGTAGTGTTTTTATCTTCAATTGGCTCTGAAAGAAATTCACCCATGGTTTTTTTTACAATAATTTCTCGTGAAAGAAATGTAGAAAAAAATGATTTATATTTATAAATTTTTTTTTTGTTTGTCATGTTTATAATGAATCAATCGTACGAGTTGTTTAATTTAAATCAATGAATAAATATTTACGTAATTAATGCCATAGCAATTTACGATAAAACCGGTTTAAAACCGATTATCGTTTAAAACCAAATATTTGATTTAACCTCAATGTGTTTCAAAAATAATGGGTTATAACTATTAATGTCAAGAGGCTAAAATTTTATTTTTATAATATTAATAAATTTTAAACAAAACATTAATTTTAATTTTATAATGTGTACAGGGTAAATCAACACGATAAAATTTCTGGTTTAATAAAATTAGTTATTACGTAATATTAATTATCAGTTATTGGGATTTCCCATGATAAAGTTTGACAGATTTTTTTGATCTGCATATGGTTTCATCCGATAAAATTAAAATATAAGCAAATAATTGCATTAAAATATATTTCTTGTAATAAAAAAGTTTTTTATATCAGTTATTATTATTAAAAAATATTGATTTTATTTTTAGAGCAAATGCCCAATAGCGATACATCGCCTCTTGGGAAAAATTTCGTAATGCTGGACAAAATTATGTGACATTGACCTTTTAAAACAAAGAAAATTTCTAAAAAGGGGTGTGACACAGGTGGCAAAAGGGTAGCACATGCGATGAATAAATTATTTCTTAATAAAGCTCATTCAAAATTTTTATTATAAAAAATCAATAAATAAATACATTTCTTAATAAAAATTACATATACTGATAATAACTAAAAGGTATAATGTACATGTTTTCATTATTAAACTTGCAACCATACATAAAGATTAACTTAATTTTCGTCAAGAAGAAAAGTTTTTTTCATAAATACCGTTAACAAAAAAAAACCAAGGAACAATACGAAATTGACCGATCCGTGAACGGATAAAAACCGCGGTATCCGGATATCCGAAAAAAAAAAATAATTATCCGGATAGAAAATATCCGGTTTGACCCGTTATCCAGATAAAAAAATTTTATTACCCATCTTGCTAAAATTACTATGATATTAGAAATATTCAATGATCGGCAGTAATTTGGGCCGTCTGTAATGCTGGCCTTAATTTTGCGAAATTGATAAAAATTTTTTTTTTTTAAAAGATTGAATTGATTAATTTTAAGTTACAAAATTGTATATTATAAATATAACAAAACTAATTAGTTTTATCATATTCTTAATGTGTTTTATATTTATAGTAATGTACTTTTTGTCAAATTTACGTTTCTCAAATTTTCAAAAAATTGGCATAAATTCATAGCGCTGGCCGAAATTAAATTTTATTTAATTTAAAATTAATAAAATATCACTAATTTAATTACAAATATTATGTAAAAATTTAATTAAGTCAATACTACTCTAAGGTCAATCGACAAAAAATTTTTTATATATAATCTTATCCGGATTTATATCTGAACCGGTTAATCCGGATACTGGATAATTTTTTTAATTTATCCGGATAACAATTTCTATCCGAATCGAGACACTAAATTGACTATAAATCACAAATTTACTGAAAAAATATTAATGAATGTACCAATTTGATTCCACCCTAATTGTAAAATAAAAAACTTACAACTAAGCATAATATTGGATGTAAATATTATATATCTCATTGCAAATTTCCTATAAAGTAATCATAATATTTAAAATATCAAATCAAGTAATTAATTCTTAGATTGCACAATCTAAACATTCAGAATAATTGTGGTCTTTTGTAACATCAGTAAGTATTTTAGATGAATATTCAGAATTGAGGTCTTTTGTAAGATCAGAAAGTAATTGATATTTATAAATATCTACTTTTCTACCTTTCTTTAAGTGCGAAATTCTATAATTTTCTGCTATTTCTACTTCATATGAATACTTAGTAGTTGAAATTAACAAAAGTGATTCAAATAATCCAGTTACATTAGGTCTGTTATTTGGATTTGGATTCCAACATCTTTTCATTAAGTCTATATAACTTTTTGGTGCTTCTTGTTCATTTATATCAGGTCTAACTCCGTCACAGATATCTAGTGTTAAAAGTTCATCATGCGCACAATTGGAAAAAGGTTGTTTGCCAGTTGCTACAAAATACATAATCATACCCATACTATAAATATCTGCTGCTTGAGTATATGGATTTCCTCTTAGTACTTCAGGAGCCATATAAGGCAAAACTCCATAAATATTTGTTTTTTCTTCATTATCAACTTTTTTACATAATCCCATATCTGAAATATAAACATCTGCTCCAATAGAAGGATTAGTAAATAGTATGTTTCCCGTATGAAAATCATGATGAACCATCTGATTGTCATGAATTTCTTTAAGACCCTTGGTAATACTGCACACCTTTTGTAGTTTCTTTTTCCAATCAAAACATTCATAATTTTTATTAAAACTTAACCATTTGCCAAAATTTCCACCTCCTGCATATTGAAGAACAATAATATAACGATCTGTATTAATATCTTTGGATATTCCATATACTGTTAGAATATTACTATAATTTAATTTAGTTGAATATGCATCAACCTATAAAAAATTCATTATTTTTTAGTAATACAAATTTTTTACTAAATTAAAATCGTTTAATAAAAATTCAAAGAAATATATACCTCATTTAGAAATTCAGTAATAAGATTTTGTGAGTTGTTTAAACATTTTAAAGCAACTGATTTAACTGGCTCTCTTATATAATATCCATTTTGAACTTTATTATATAATGGACCATCCATCCATATTGCTGAATATACTTCAGCAAAACCACCACTTCCAACTTCATTAATGTCACAAAATTGACCGTATGGTATCCATTCAAATACTATGTCATTATGATTATTTGCTTTTAATTGCATTTTATGAACAAAATCATCAATTTTATCGTCTTTACTTGCAAAATCTGTGAATATTAAAGAATCATTTTGAACTAAAATATAATCATTTGTATCTGGTTTTTGAGATATTCCATACAATACAAGAAATGATCTTATCTCTGTTGAATATTTTTTAGCCTAAATATAAACAAAAAAAGATAAATATGTATGTTAAAAGATAGAATTGCTTGCAATATTTGTAAATGTTTTATACCTCATTTATTACAAATTCTACGGAATTTTGTGAATTATGTAAGCATTTTAAGAGAACACTTTTATTTGAATCTCTTGTATAATTTTCCTCCCGTATACCATTCTTGTAGTGTAATGGACCACCTCTCCATATTGCTGAATATAATGTTATAGAGCCATTTTTGTTCATTTCATTAATTTCATTAAATTGACTGTATGGTATCCATTCTAATACTATATTATCATGTTCAGTTTTTAATTGCATTTCTTGAATGAAATCATCAATTTTTTCATTTCCACTTGTCCAAATCAAATAATTTCGAACCAAAATGTAATCGTTTGTATCTGGATTTTGAGATATTCCATAAAACTTATGAACCCTTTTACCAAATATTATACTTGAATTTGAATATCTTTTGACCTAAGGTACAACAAAAGAGATGAGTATATTTCATTAAAGAAGTATTATATTAATTAAATTTTATACCTCATTTATTACAAATTCAATAAGAACTTGCAAGTTATGTAAACATTTTAAAGTAACTTTTTTATTTGAATCTCTTGTATAATTTTTACTCAATGGACCATTTCTCCATATTGCTGAATATATTGTTATAGAACCATTTTTGTTCATTTCTTTAATTTCATTAAACTGACTGTATGGTATCCATTCAAATATTGTATCATAAGAATTATGGAGCATTTCTTGAATAAAATCATCAATTTCCTTATTTCCACTTATCCAATTTACGAATGTTGAAGAGTTATTTTGAACTAAAATATAATCATCTGTATGTGGATTTTGAGATATCCCATAAATCTTAATAAGACAACTTTTTCCAAATATTTTGTTTGAATATTTTTTAACCTAAGGCATAATAAAAGAGATGAGTCAGTATACCTCATTAAAAAGTACTACTTACTAATTAAATTTTATACCTCATTTATTACAAATTCAATAGAATAATGCAAGTTATGTAAACATTTTAAAGCAACTTTTTTATTATAATCTTTCTTGTATAATGGACCATCTTTCCATATTGCTGAGTATATTTCTATAGAGCCATTTTTGCTCATTTCTTTAATTTCATCAAATTGATTATATGGTATCCATTCAAATAATGTTTCATAAGAATTATAGAGTATATCGTGTACATAGTTATCAAATTCTTTATTTCCACTTATCCAATTTGTGAAATTTAAAAAATTAGCCTGAACTAAAATGTAATCATTTGTATCTGTATTTTGAGATATTCCATACAATACAGGAAATGACCCTTGTTTTGTTAAATATTTTTTAGCCTAAATAGAAACATGTGTTACAATATTAAAAGAAATTAAAAAATAACAGTAGAAATAATATACCTTATTTATTAAGAAGTCAATTGTATTTTGTGAGTTATGTAAACATTTTAAAGCAACTACATTATTTGAAATTCTCATATGAATTTTACTCCGTTTATTCTTATATAATGGACCATCTCTCCATATTGCTGAATATATTGTTATAGATCCACTTTTGCCCATTTCTTTAAGTTCATTAAACTGAATGTATGGTATCCATTCAAATACTACATCATTATTGGTTTCAACTTTTAATTGCCTTTTCTCAATAAAATCATCAATTTTTTTATTTCCACTTATTTGATTTGTGAGACTTAAAAAATTATTTTGAACCAAAATATAATCATTTGTATTTGGATGTTGGGATATTCCATACAAAACAAGAACTTCGTTGTTATTATCTAGATATTTTTCAGCCTAAACATAAGCAAAAGGGATTAAAGTTATTATATTAAAAAAAAATTAAAAATAACTGCGGAAATATTGTACCTTATTTACGAGGAATTCAATGGGATTCTGTGAATTATGTAAACATTCTAAAACAACTACTTTATTTGAAATTCTTGTACAATTTTTACTCTGTTTATCCTCTATGTATAACGGACCATCCCTCCATATCGCTGAATATGCTGTTGTAGAATCACCTCTACTCATTTCTTTAATTTCGCTAAACTGACTGTATGGTATCCATTCAAATAGTATACTATCATTATATTTAGTTTTTAATTGCATACTTCGAATGAAGTCATCAATTTTTTCATTTCCACTTGCCCATGTAAAATAATTTTGAACCAAAATGTAATCATTTGTATCTAGATTTAGAGATATCCCATAAATCATAAGACCCCTTTCTCCAAATATTGTGCTTGAATATATTTTGACCTAAGTAAGGTATAATAAAATAAATGAATATATTTCATTAAAAAGCACTATATTAATAATTAAAATCTATACCTCATTCATTAAAAATTCAATAGGATCTTGCAGGTTGTGTAAACATTTTAAAGCAACTTTTTTATTTGAATCTCTTGTATAATTTTCCTTCATACTATTCTTGTAGTGTAATGGACCATCTCTCCATATTGCTGAGTATATTGCTATAGAATCATCTTTGCCCATCTCTTTAATTTCATGTAATTGACTGTATGGTATCCATTCAAATAATATATCATTATATAATTTCCTTTTTTTAATGAAATTATCAAGTTTTTCATTACCGCTTGTCCAGTTAATAACTAAAATGTAATCATTTGTGTCTGGATGTTGAGATATTCCATATAATACAAGAAATTCTTCATTTTTCGTCAAATATTTTTTAGCCTAATATAAAAAAAAGATATAAATATATTGTATTAAAAAAAAAATAGAATAACTGTAAATATATTATACCTCATTTATTAAAAATTCAATAGAACCTTGTAAGTTATGTAAACATTTTAAAACAACTTTTTTATTTGAATCTCTTGTATAATTTGCACTCCACTTATCATTCTCCTTGTGTAATGGACCATCTCTCCATATTGCTGAGTATATTGTTATAGAATCATCTTTGCCCATTTCCTTAATTTCATTAAATTGATTATATGGTATCCATTCAAATAATATATTATTATATTTAGTTTTTAATCGCATTCTTTGAATGAAATCATCAATTTTTTCATTTCCACTTGTCCAGATAAACCAATTTTGAACCAAAATGTAATCATTTGTATTTAGATTTTGAGATATCCCATAAATTCTGAGACCTAATTCTCTAAATATTGTACATGAGTATTTTTTGACCTAAGGTAAAATAAAAGAAATAAGTATATTTCATTAAAAAGCTCTTATTAATTAAATTTTATACCTCATTTATCAAAAATTCAATAGGATCTTGTAAGTTATGTAAACATTTTAGAGCAACTTTTTTATTTGTATCTCTTGTATTATTTTCGCTCCACTTAATATCCTTGTATAATGGACCATCCTTCCATATTGCTGAATACATTGTCATAGAACCATTTTTGCTCATTTCCTTAATTTCATTAAACTGACTGTATGGTATACATTCAATTATTGTATTACAAGAACTATGGAATATTTCTTGAATAAAATCATCAAGTTTTTCATTTCCACTTATATTTATAGATTTATTTTGGACCAAAATATAATCACTTGTATCTGGATTTTGAGATATACCATACAAAACAAAAACTTCATTATTATTAGCTAGATATTTTTCAGCCTAAACATAAGAAAAAGAGATAAGTGTATTATATTAAAAATGAAATTAAAAATATTTGCATAAATATTTTACCTTATTTATTAGGAAGTCAATGGGATTTTGTGAGTTATGTAAACATTTTAAAGCAACTACTTTACTTGAAATTCTTTTATAATTTTTACTCTTTTTAGACTCCTTATAGAATGGACCATTCCTCCATATTGCTGAATATGTTGTTATAGAATCACCTCTGCTCATTTCTTTAATTTCGCTAAATTGACTGCATGGTATCCATTCAAATAGTATACTATCATTATATTCAGTTTTTAATTGCATACTTTGAATAAAATCATCAATTTTTTCATTTCCACTTGTCCATGTAAAATAATTTTGAACCAAAATATAATCATTTGTATCTAGATTTTGAGATATCCCATAAATTATATGACCCCTTTCTCCAAATATTGTACTTGAATATTTTTTGACCTAAGGTACAATAAAAGAAATGAGTATATTTAATTTAAAGCGCTATATTAATTAAAATTTATACCTCATTCATCAAAAATTCAATAGGATCTTGCAAGTTACTATGTAAACATTTCAAAGTAACATTTTTATTTGAATCTCTAGTATAATTTTCCTTCATAATATTCTTGTAGTGTAATGGACCATCTTTCCATATTGCTGAGTATATTGTTATAGAATCATCTTTGCCCATTTCTTTAATT